GAATTGGGGAGTCATTAACATTACCCAAAAAAGAAACACTATTTCTCTATTTGGTATTTTCAAAGATTGTTAAATGGAAAAGCTTAACTTAAAATTCTGTAGACACATTCTGGGTGTTACTAAACTCTGTACAAACATAGCGGTCCTTTCAGAAAATGGGAGATACCCATTATATTTAGATTTGTTAGAACAAATATTTTTGTACTGGTATAGACTTGAGCACTTCCAATCTGATCTGTTGAGCAGAGCCTAATATAATGAATATAAATCTAGCAGTAACCAGTCAAATATCTCATGGTATTCTAATATACTATTTTCAGTAAAAAACTGGATATTAACCTATCTATCTTCAAAAAACTCAGTAAAAATAGATTTAAATTGTATTTGAAGAAAAGTCTCCAGAAGAAATTTCTTAAGACATGGCTAGACATAAGAAATAGCTACTCAAAAGATGTAGGAAAACTCAGCACATATTTCAAATTCAAATTTGCTTTCAATTATGAAAGTTACTTAAATATGAAAAATTTTAACAGCAGAAGAACTTTAACAAGATTTAGACTGAGTAACCACAGTTTGAGAATAGAAACTGGGAGACATAAAACATGACCAAGTATTGACTAACTTTACCTAAATACAATCTCAGGAAAACTTGAACTTCTGTCCAGATGTGAAAGGCTCTGTCAACACTGTTCACTTAACTTAGTAGAAAATGAACTGCATTTTGTTTTAGAGTGCCCTCTATATAGCTCACCAAGATTAGAATTCTTACAAAATTTATTTCAAAAGTTTCCAAATCTGAGAATCATAAATTTGGAAAATCTTTTTATCTGGATCATGACAAATGAAGATTTAGATTTTAATACAGTTTTTAGTGTGTACCTAAATAAAATTTACCTTAATTAGACAGGAAAAAAGAGCAAAAGTTAAAATAAACAAATGGAGTTATTCCTCTTTGTACTAGATATAATAAGATCAGATATATTTTATTACCAATTAAGGGACCACAAGGGGCATATAGAGAATACATGCATAAGGAAGATGAACATTGATCAGCATAGATACATGTACATAGAATTTAAATACACAATTACAATACAATAAGACTTTAAAAAAGCCCTTGTTCTATAGTATATGATATATTTATATGAGAAATAAATACATCTAACTCATATTGACTTGAATAAATTTCCAACAGCATAAGGACCTGATTGTCTTCACAGCTTGATAAATATATGAATTTTCGCTGATTATCCAGCAAAGGAAAGTTTGGAATTTTATGGCAAACAAAGTCAAAGAGAGCATCTCTATCAGAGTTAAATTTTACACATGAAGTTTAAAAAAATGGATTTCCAACACAGCCAGAGGAGCATTTTTTTAAAATTCTTTCATTTCGTAGAATATTTGAAAAATGGCCAAAATCAATTTGAAGCTTATGAGCAGATATATGTAATTTACAAATAGCTCTTCTAAAATCAACGTTCTTAACCAAAGAGAGATAATTTTCATAGTCCAAATTTTTTGTTTAATTGCAAATAATTGAACAATTTTCCATCAGAAGCATTTTTTGGCTAACATACTAGTTGTTAATATATTTAATGTGAATTAATTTGTTAGATATATTCAAAAATTTATATTGTCCAAAATGTTTTACTTCTTGTTTGATTTCAAAAACTTCTAATGTACTAGCACTCCAATCATGTATATATTTTTATAATCATGTTTTCATATTTGTCTTTAATCATTTTTAATTATCAATAATCAGTATGTATGTTAGATTGCATGTGTTGCTTGTGTGGATATTGTATGAACTTTGTGATTTGTGTTGATTTATATGATCTATGTGGGCCCTTTAATCAAGTTAGGAATAACGACATTTGATTTGATTTGATTTGATTAGATGCAAGCAGCCGATCTAGACGTAGATGGGAGCAGTAAGCTTGGCATTTCATTCAGACTGGTTAGTCTTCTTCTTCTTCTTTCGGTTTTCAGTAGCTGTTCTCTGAAAGTGTCGACTGTGGTTACAGCGACTGTGTGGACTGGTAGTAAATTCCACTGAGTAATGGTGTACGGAAAAATGAAAATTTATATGTATCTTTTTTGGTAGAAATGTGTCTGAAAGTGAAACTATGGTTTTTCCGGGTTCTACTGTCTGATGGTATGAGAATAGCAGATGGGATTGCTACTATTTGATGTACTATTTTGTAGAACATTATCAATCTTGTGCGTAGTCTTCTTTCTTGTAGCGTGGGCCAGTTTAGTGAGTTTATCATGTCTGTAGGACTACTGATGTTATGGTACATGTTACAGACATATCTGGCAGCTCGTCTTCGGACCATCTCAATTTTAGAGGTTTGTTCAGCTGTGTGAGGGTCCCATACTGAACATGAATATTCAAGCTTAGGACGAACTAGTGCCAGATATGCCTGGGTTTTGATGTTCTGACATGATGTTTTTAAATTTCTTTTAAAGAAGCCCAAAGATTTGTTTCCATTAGCTATGATGTTGTCTGTATGTTTTGACCATTTTAAGTTTGCTTGTAGTGTAATGCCCAGAGTTTAGCAGAAGAGACTAGTTCAAGTTTGTGATTGTGAAGGATATAGTCATGTTTAAACTGTTTTTTCTTTTGTGATACTGTGAGGACTGTGCATTTGTCTGGATGGAAAACCATCAACCAGTCTTGTTCCCACCTAGCAGCTGCATCTAAATCTAACTGGAGTTCATCACAGTTACTTTGAAATTTGATGGTTTTGTAGATGATACTGTCATCGGCAAACAGTCTGAGCTTACTGGATTGTAAGTATTCTGGTAGGTCGTTGATGTATACCAAGAATAATACTGGGCCCAGAACTGTGCCTTGAGGGACACCTGAGGTGACTGCAGCCAGGTCAGATGACTCTCCATCCAGGACAACTGTTTGTGTTCTGTCATTTAAGAAGGCAGAGACCCAGTTTAGTGTTTCATTTTGAATACCATAGTAGTTCAGTTTATAGAGAAGTCTTTTATGAGGGACTTTGTCAAATGCTTTGGCAAAGTCCATTATAATTAAGTCTGTTTGTGTGTTGTTGTTGTTATTTGCTGCAAGCTCTTGGATGAATGAAATGAGTTGGGTTTCACATGATCGTGACTGACGGAAGCCATGCTGGAGGTCATACAGTATATTGTTCTTTTCAAGGTGGTTGATGATGTGTTTGGTGATGATATGCTCCATAAGTTTACAGGAAATACATGTCAATGATATTGGGCGGTAATTTTCTGGCTTGTATTTTTCCCCTTTTTTAAATACTGGTGCCACATTGGCATGTTTCCAGTCTGTTGGTGTTATGCCAGTTTCAAGTGATGTTTTGAAGATTAGTGTAAGAATTGGAGCTGTTTGATCTTTGAGTTCTTTTAATATTCTGCCACTGATGTTATCTGAGCGAGTTGCCTTATGTGGGTTTATGTTGAGTAGAAGTTTCTTGACACCTGGTAGTGATATTTCTAGTGGTGTTATTGTGGGGTGTGAGCTAGGACCTTTGTCTGGAATGCTGTTATTTGATTCGGTTGTAAACACTGATTGGAACTGTGTGTTGAGGATGTCTGCCTTTTGCTTTGTGTCTGCTATTAACTGTCCTTCTTTTTTCAGAGGAGCTACACCGGTGTTATCTGTGCGCAGTGATTTTATAAAGGAAAACAGTTTTTTAGGTTTTGACTGATTGTTACATGGTTGGTCCGGTTCATTTATGGGTAGATCCAATATCATTTTTTCAATATAACCCCAATATGCTTCCCTCTGTTCTTTTTGTACTTGTTGTTTCAGATGTTTGTACTTGTCTGCATACTTGATGTTTTGTTTCATTTTATAATATAGTTTATTTTTCATTTTCCTGAGGTTGTTATGAATCCAAGGTAGTCTGTTTTTGTATGTTAAGAACTTGTGTGGGATGTTGTTTTCCACTGATTGTGTAAGATTTGTTTTAAATGTGTTCCAAATATCATTTACATTTGTTTTATCCTCTAGGTTTTGTAGATCATTGTATGTTTTTTCTAGATCTGACTTGATGTTACTCCAGTTGGCTTCGTTATATTTTAATATTTTTTTAGGCTTTTCTCTCACCCTGCGTAACCAGATGTCAGATTCTACATAGACAATGTCGTGGTCACTAAGGCCTATTGGTGGTAGTGTACTGACCTTGTTAATGTTAGATGGATTATTGACGAGTACTAAGACTAAGATTCTTTCTTTTCGTGTTGGTATGTTAACTATTTGGTGTAAATTATGATCATATAGTAGTTCTAAAAGTGAATTATGCTGTTTTTGATCTGGTTTCCCTGGCATTACCTCAGGGACAGACCAGTCAATGTGACCTAGATTGAAATCGCCACCTACTAATATGTTACTGTTTGAAGTTTGATTTATTCTACTTAATGATAAGTCTAATTGTTTTATGTGGAGTTCCCATCATCTGAAGGTGGTCTATAATAACTTCCAACAAGAAGGTTTTTTGCACCCGATATGTTTATTTGTGCCCAAATGATTTCACAGTCAGTTTTTAGTTCTTGGATTGCTGTGCTGCCGATGATAAATTCTTTGGTGACTGCAAGTAATACCCCTCCATAGCTTTGGTTGTTTTTACTTGGTGGTCTATCAGTTCTATAGATGTTATAAAGATCTGTTGGGAAGTATTCGAACGAGGATGAGTTTTTGTCAATCTAATATCTGACCTCGGGGGGGGGGGGGGGGGGGGCACTTCCTATATACAAGGTGATAGGACGTGCCGCTGAAGATAGGTCACATTTTTCGGCGAGCTTGAAAATATGCGAATAGGTGGGGACAACTATCAGAAATATATAAGGTCAATAAAGTGTGGGGTAAGAGAACCCCAGCAGCACCCCTAATCAATTAAGTATTGTATCCCCCTCCTCCCCCCACAGTATCTGTCAAAACCAAAAACACAAAACAAACACGAAATTAAGTTCATATCCATACCTACATTATTATTTTTTAGGAGGATAAACTAACTTCCGTTTTAATGTTTTCCTAATCGACTGCTGAAAAATGAATCTAGATTATCATTCAGCTCAAGAAGATTTTAATGTCATCATAAGAAAGTTACAACCATGGGTTTTATCTAACTTTGTGATGTGGTTGGATATAAAAGTTGCAGAATATAAGATATTTGGGTGCATTTTAAATGGTGAGTTCGGCGCACAGGCACTTGTCTTTGAAAAAAAAACCATATAAACAAACAAACAAATATTTTATTGCTAATCACAGCGCCCACAAGGAGCAGAATAATCAACATTAATTTCGTACTAATCATGATTACAAGTGGTTCAATATGATTAAGACACAATGTTATAGATTTAAGCAAGTTCAATGAAAAGAAAATATTTATTAAAACAAGTAGAAGAACACAACAAGCACAGTAGTTAGTTTTTGTTATAAAATAAAATAATATAATATAACTGGGTAAAGGGTGGGGGATCACTGAGCATACACCTTATCGCTATTTAGTCCAATCCGGAAAAAACAGTCATTTAGACAACTTCCTGTTTGGGTCAACAGGCCGCAAACAAAGGTCATCAGTAACGAGCTGAGGGAGGGAAAAATTTAGAATGCGATCAATATGAAGCTTTGATAGATTATGATCCACTTTTTCCAAACTCAAATTAAAGTCAAAAAAATATTGTGTTTGAAGTATTTACGATGTTTTAAACAGGTCTCATTAAAAAGTATCATGCATGGTGCATTGTTTAAACAGGGTCCCAGATAGCGTCAACTGGATGAAAAAGTTGTGTAATTTTAGAACTTATCCGGAATGGAATAAATAGCGATTAGGTGTATTACTACACCCATTTATTATTTAAGGAAACTTTCCTGTGAGAGGATAAGTTTTCCAATAATTCGCTCAGTTTCTGGAGCATGAAAATATCTTCAGAAGACATAAGCCAAATAAATTGTGATTTAATATCTAGACTATTAAAATTTTTAAACCTTTGTTTTATTTCATTTAAAAAGTTAAGACGAATATTTGAAAGTTTATAGCTATAAATATCTCGGGGATGATTCTACGTACTATATAGTTTAGGGCCGCTTAGCATCCCTTAAATCGGCCAGCGGCCCCAACAAAATTTATGTGAATATAAATTCCATATTCAGGAAAAATAAAATTAAAATCGATATTTCCGGAAAAGTTTCAGCCACCCATTTAGGCAACTATAATTTTTGATAATTTGTCAACAATAATCCTGATAAGAATTCTGTCAAAGATCGCATTTTATTAACAACAATTTAATTATGTCAACATGTTTGTAGCAGCCGGATTCATTAGTGATGAAAATGTTATGGGTGTTTTTGATCTCATAAAAGCAGATCGCCCAGCAGGTCAGTAAAAAAGATGCTTTTTGTCAAAATGGGTCTCATTAAAGCAGACCTCGGCAGAGAGCAAAATTTAAATTTGGTATAACATTGATGAATAAATTTTAATGGGCACCAATCTCGTAAAAGCAGATCGCCCAGCAGAGCCGGTTATATAATATGATGAAAACTTGTTTTGTAAAAGAAATCATTTTATATTTAGTCAGGCTTTATTTCCCCAAAAGACAAAAGATTGAGCATGTTTGAAAATACATGTGGATGATAGATTATTCATGAAATAGGATCGATGTCAACATTATGGAAATGTTTCAAAAATTGTGAAGATAATCCAAATAATATTAAAATACAATGGTTCAATGCTTTAATTTCCTGTTTCTTCATGTTCTTAGGTAAAACTATGGCAACCTTCTACATATTCATGATATTAAACAGCAAGCAAAAATCACAAAACTATCTTATCAATTAAGTACTTAAACTTTTTTAATTGCTTTTCTAAATTCGATAAATAGCCAGTTCAATATGAAATCCATTTGAATCGAGGTAAATATATATAAAGATGACCTGTTGTTGAAAAAAATACCCAATGGATGTTTTTTTTAGTGGTTTATGTTAGCTGTTATATATGTAAAAGGCCGAGGTTACCATAGCTAAGAAGCCTAAGATGCAAGCCTACAAAAGATAGTGCATCAAAATTCATGTGCTATGATCTTCATGTAAAAACTTCCCTGGTCTCAATCCAATAACTGTCAAGTGATCTGGTAATCATATATATCATTTTTATCCAGGATTATTCAAAATGTTACAACTTATTACAGCAGTGTACAGGTGAAACATTATATACATTTTCCGTTTTTACAGGAAAATAATGTTAATTCATCTTAGATTTTATGCATAAAAAATTCCCAATTGAGATGATTGATATGAAAATTCCCATTTTGATGGTCAAGGGACCCATTTGAATACACCTGGAATCATCCCTGTATCTGTAATATATATACCTTAAACATGTTAAACACAAGGAAACCAACTCTCATTTTTGAGAAATGACATTCGATCGTGAACTTTCATTATTTCTAGATTCCCCGGTGGTCTATCCCACTGAAACTTGTTATATCCTCAATTTACATTGAATTATCAACAAAATGATGTATGACACATCATTTTCTGTTGTCTGAATCATTTGTCGCAGACTGTGTCATTTCTCAAAAATGAGAGTCGTGTACTAGTCAAATAATTATGACGTCTAGAAAGGTTATTTTATTTTTTTTCTGGGACGCCTTCCTACCATGTCATAACGCTGAAGCCCATTTTTCCGTCAGGACTTTTGAGAGAGGATTTTCAGCGGAATTTTGAGACCCAATTAAGATTGTGCGCTTATTGGTGCAAAATATTTCCAGAAATATCCAAAAGAAATGATAAAATAAAATATGATTCCATTTGAGGTGGGCAAATATTTACTTTGATTTCAAAATGGTTTCCCAGATTTTCCAAGATACTTCACTTCCGGAGAGTATAAAACATCAAACTAGGTAAAATTTGATGGACCTGAATTTCTGGAATGTTCGATTTATACTATCCGGAAATTCGATTCTGCCAAATTTTACAGAGTTTGATATTGTAAGTCTGATGGTATGGCAAAAAGGCAGAAAATGCTATTTCCTGAACGCCGCCTTAAAACACGACTACCGGAAATAGTATTTTCAGCCTTATTGCCATACCATCAGAAAGGCTAATTACAACCAACAGCAGAACAAGCCAAAACCACCCAAATACTACAGACATATACAAACCACAAAGATAACATATAAACATGATAAATGGTCTTTTTTCCAACATACCATCATTCAGTGGAACATGCTGCCAATAGCCACAGTACAGTCAGTCACAGTTGACAGCTTCAGAGCACACCTTACACAATTAAGGTCATGAAGGTGTTCTTTTTAAACTGATTTAAATCAGATACCAAATTTTGTAAATATAGTTAATTTTAATCACTATTTAGTAAAATACATGCACATTGTGAAATTTAGATAGTAGTTTTTATACGACCGCAAAAAAATTTTTGTGGTCGTATATTGGTATGACGTTGGCGTCGTCGTCGTCGTCGTCCGAAGACACATTGGTTTTCGCACTCTAACTTTAGTTTAAGTGAATGGATCTTTATGAAATTTTACCACAAGGTTCAATACCACAAAAGGAAGGTTGGGATTGATTTTGGGGGTTATGGTAATAACAGTAAAGGAATTAGGGGCCAAAAAGGGGCCAAAAATAAGCATTTTTGTAACTTCCAGACATAACTTGTGTGTTAGTGTATGGATCTCTCTGACATTGTACCACAAGGTTCCATATCACTAAAGGAATGCTGGGATTGATTTTGGGGGTAATTGCCTCCAAATTTTAGGAATTAGGGGCCAAAAAAGGGGCAAAAAACAAGCATTTTTCTAGTTTCATGACAATAACTTGTGTGTAAGTGTATGGATCTTTCTGAAATTGTACTACAAGGTTCCATATCACAAAGGGAAAGCTGGGTTTGAGTTTGGGGGTAATTGCCCTAAACGTTTAGGAATTTGGGGCCAAAAAGGGGCCAAAAAACACATTTTTTTCTAGTTTCCAGACAATAACTTGTGTTCAAGTGTATGGATCTCTCTGAAATTGTACTGCAAGGTACCATACCACAAAGGGAAGGCTGGGATTGAGTTTGGGGGTGATGAATCATAATGGGGGTTCAAAAAATTTTGGGGGGGGGATTTATTTTTTTTTCCTTTTTTTTCTTTTTTTCCTTTTTTGTTTCTTTTAAAATTTTCCATTTTAAGTTGGTTATTTCTGATTTATATTTAAAATCAAATAATAATGATATGGTAGGAGATACACACCAAACAGGATGTGTAAATTATTATATAATAAGTATTGTGCAATAGCAAGAAATTTTCAATTGCACAGTATTGCACAATAGCAAGAAATCTTCAATTGCACAGTATTGCGCAATAGCAAGAAATCTTCAATTGCACAGTATTGCGCAATAGCAAGAAATATTTAATAGCACAGGATTGTGCAAAAGAAGATACTTCCTATAAATTGCTTATTTCTTGACCAATTTCAATGGGGTTTTATTCTTGATTTCATGGGGTTCTTTAATATGCTGAATCTAACCGTGTATTTAGTTTTTGGATTTTGGGCCCCGTTTTTAAATTGGTCCACATTGAGGTCCAAAGGGTCCAAAATTAAACTTTGTTTGATTTCATCAAAAATTGAATTATTGGGGTTCTTTGATATGCCGAATCTAACTGTGTATTTAGATTCTTAAATTTTGGTTCCGTTTTCAAATTGGTCTACATTAAGGTCCAAAGGGTCCAAAATTAAACTTAGTTTGATTTTAACAAAAATTGAATTCTTAGGGTTCTTTGATATGCTGAATCTAAACATGTATTTAGATTTTTGATTATGGGCCCAGTTTTCAAGTTGGTCCAAATCGGGGTCCAAAATTAAACTTTGTTTGATTTCAACAAAAATTGAATATATGGGGTTCTTTGATATGCTGAATCTAACCATGTATTTAGATTTTTGATTTTTGGGCCCCGTTATCAACTTTGTCCACATTGAGGTCAAAAGGGTCCAAAATTAAACTTTGTTTGATTTCATCAAAAATTGAATTATTGGGGTTCTTTGATATGCCGAATCTAACCGTGTATTTAGATTCTTAATTTTTGGTTCCGTTTTCAAATTGGTCTACATTAAGGTCCAAAGGGTCCAAAATTAAACTTAGTTTGATTTTAACAAAAATTGAATTCTTAGGGTTCTTTGATATGCTGAATCTAAAAATGTATTTAGATTTTTGATTATGGGCCCAGTTTTCAAGTTGGTCCAAATCGGGGTCCAAAATTAAACTTTGTTTGATTTCAACAAAAATTGAATATATGGGGTTCTTTGATATGCTGAATCTAACCATGTATTTAGATTTTTGATTTTTGGGCCCCGTTATCAACTTTGTCCACATTGAGGTCAAAAGGGTCCAAAATTAAACTTTGTTTGATTTCATCAAAAATTCAATTATTGGGGTTCTTTGATATGCCGAATCTAACCGTGTATTTAGATTCTTAATTTTTGGTTCCGTTTTCAAATTGGTCTACATTAAGGTCCAAAGGGTCCAAAATTAAACTTAGTTTGATTTTAACAAAAATTGAATTCTTAGGGTTCTTTGATATGCTGAATCTAAACATGTATTTAGATTTTTGATTATGGGCCCAGTTTTCAAGTTGGTCCAAATCGGGGTCCAAAATTAAACTTTGTTTGATTTCAACAAAAATTGAATATATGGGGTTCTTTGATATGCTGAATCTAACCATGTATTTAGATTTTTGATTTTTGGGCCCCGTTATCAACTTTGTCCACATTGAGGTCAAAAGGGTCCAAAATTAAACTTTGTTTGATTTCATCAAAAATTGAATTCTTGGGGTTCTTTGATATGCTGAATCTAACCATGTATTTAGATTTTGGATATTGGACCATAATAGGTGAATGTCCAATTTAAAATTTTTAAGTTCTTAGACCACATTCAATCTGTGTTAGAAACCTATGCTGTGTCAAATATTTAATCACAATCCAAATCCAAAGCTGTATCAAGCTTGAATGTTGTGTCCATACTTCCCCCAACTGTTCAGGGTTCGACCTCTGCGGTCGTATCAAGCTGCGCCCTGCGGAGCATTTTATTGGCATTTACAAGGGAAATAACTTTTGGTAAATACCACACAGTATCCTGAAGTTTTGTTGTATACCTGAAGAAGATGAAGACAGAACCTCATTACTAGGAGACATGCTCAAAGCTCTGTAATAGATTTAGGAGATCACAGTGTCTGCAGTTAAGGTGGAGCTTAGACTGTATCTCAATTTGGGCTTGAGACAATACAGTATCAACAAAGATACCTACAGAATACAACAAATAACTAAGTCTAAACTTTTCTAACCGTATCAACAAAGATACCTACAGAATACAACAAATAACTAAGTCTAAACTTTTCTAACAGTATCAACAAAGATACCTACAGAATACAACAAATAACTAAGTCTAAACTTTTCTAACAGTATCAACAAGGATACCTACAGAATACAACAAATAACTAAGTCTAAACTTTTCTAACAGTATCAACAAGGATACCTACAGAATACAACAAATAACTAAATCTAAACTTTTCTAACAGTATCAACAAGGATACCTACAGAATACAACAAATAACTAAATCTAAACTTTTCTAACAGTATCAACTACAGAGTACAACAAATAACTAATTCTAAACTTTTCTGACAGTATCAACAAGGATACCTACAGAATACAACAAATAACTAAGTCTAAACTTTTCTAAGTAGTAGTTAAATGTACATCAAAGTTGTGATACAGAGATCAACTCATGGTCTGGAAAAGAAAATTTATAGACTTGTTCCTTTTGTTTACAGAAGATACAGATATGTGCAAGGCACAAGTGATTTAAAATTCCAACAGGGACCTAGATCAGCTACATGTATTTGATTGATCACTCTTTTTTTTAGGACGAAAGTAGATTTCCTAAAATTACAAAAAGTATTCCCGACATAACAATTTATCAATTAGGGTAAATAATGCACACAATAGTGACTAGAAGGGTTGAGAACGCATAGTTTTGACATATAATTGGATTTTTCTTTGCATGATTTGGGTTTTTGGGTAAAGATGAAATGCAATCAAAACCCTATGGTACTGACTTGATATCTATATCTTCCAAGGTTTATCACTACCTTTGATAGTTAAAACAAAATAGTGCAGCGAAGTGATCATTATATAGACCCTATCCAGTCAATTTCGTTCAGTTTATTAATGATATGTTATAGTTGATATTTAAGTTACAATATGATATGTATTGGAAAAACAATACTTGCCAAGAAAACATTTTTTTTATTAAAAATTACATAAGTAATGCATGGTGTTTAAATCTGTTATAAAAAAAGTGCATCTACAAATGTACAACTCATGAAAAAAGGAAGATACATGTACATTTGTAACTCCAACTAAAATTCTTAATTTGCCTAGCAAAATACAATTCAATGTTTTATTCAAAAATTCACCTAATTTCAAAATCAAAGCAATCTTTACCCTTCAGTGCTCACAAGCACTTTGATTAATTGTTGATATAACTACAAATGTACATGTTATGTATTTGACCCCACATCATTTTAAAGGGCTTACTTGGAAACTTTTTTTTGTAAAAATTTATTCTTTAATATCCAATGAATCTTGCAAGCATGCATGTGTACCTATGAGTCATGTTCTATTAATCATGTTAATATTATAATTTGCATATTTGAAAATTCATCAATGAAAAATCACTTAATTTCAGTGTTTTAAATATAATAACAGTGGCGGATCCAGAACTTTTTATAAGGGGGTCCCGCTGACTGACCTAAAGGGGGGGGGGGGGGGGGGCTCCAGTCATGCTTCAGTGATTTCCGATATAATCGTCCAAATTTTTCCCACAAAAGGGGGGGGGGGGGGGGGGGGCCCGGGCCCCCCCCTGGATCCGCCTATGAATAACATGATGAACTTGTTTTTAAAAAAAAAAACAGACTAGCATGTGTGATGGGTGAAATAGAGATCAAATAGTGTCCACTCACTGAAACAAAAAATAGCTAATTCATCATCACACAGATTCAAGAAATAGCAAATTTAACCGAAATTGGTAATAGACAAATACACAAGTCATGGGTTTTTTTTTATTTATAATACAGATCCTGTGTCAACGCTTCATTTACAAAGAATCTGAAAATGCTTGGTTTTATTTTCTGTTTTTAAGACTTTTCAGTATCATCTTGTTTTGTCTTAATAATATACACCTTCAAAAATTTGAAGCCAGGAATTTCATTGACTGATGTAACAATTACAAAATATTTTTTTCTCTTCTTGAATTTCTCTGGACTACATTGCTCCAAAAGTGTGTTTCCTTGTTTTTCTTTAAGCTGTGCAGCCATGTTCATGTGTACTTTTCTTTATGAAATATCATCCAATAGTATTTTTCATGCATTCGTTTTTGTATTTTGTAGAAGCAGAAAAAGACAGAGCAAGGTCTTATGTACTTGGAATCTGTCAATCTAGTACAAACACTACCAATGAACAATTACAACAGAAGGAATCATCATGTTATTTACAAACAATAGCTCCAAAGTTATCAACTAAGATTCCAAGACAAAGACAGAATGTAGAACAAAGTGATCCAGGAAACCAAACTTATAAAGAGCATGAACATTATAAAAACTCTTCTAGAAGAACAAACAATCACAAACAGGGTAGTGAGTTGCACATTTTTCCAACTGCATATCAAAAGCAACAAATCATACATCAACCTGAACAAGAAAAACTTCATGGAAATCCTACGTCCAATTCTTCTGATTCAGTAGAATATATTAACTTAGACAGTGAAGATGAAGAAGAATCATTAAGAGAAGATAACTCCCTTGAAGTAAATTTGATAAGAGATCCTCAATTTTCTAAAGATGTTGTAGAAAGGCTTGCAATTTATGAACAACATCTATCTGGTAATAGTTAGATATTTTATCAATTGTTGCAAGGCATATTTTAAAAGAGTTCACATATCTCAATACATACAAATCTCTTTAAATAGTAAAAGGGTTTAAACAAACAATTATAAATGTTAATCATCTACATCATATGGTATCTGTTGGAGAGTTGTCTCATTGGCAATCATACCACATCTTCTTATTTTTATAATCATGATAATGATAGAATTTTAACATACATTTGTTCTTTGCCAAAATGTAGTTTATTTGAGCTACTTTCAAAAGTATATACATATAATGGACATATAAAACATGTTGATTTATACCCAGTATGTGTTCAAGTTACATGTAATGCAATGTTGACATTTTCTTAAGGATTGCACATGGAAAAAAAACTTTATTATGTGAAACACCAAAGAAAATAACTAATAGAAATTTGAAATAGAATATGAAAAGAGAGCTCTTATAAAATTCTTTTAGAAACTATATAAATGGGTATACAAGACGTATAATATATTGAAGAAAATTTTATCCTACATTTAACCTAAAGTTGCATCTTCTTTTTTTTTTATTCTTAACTATTGTACTTGATTTCCATTGAAATTGACATAGCCAAAAGGCATACTGCAAAGAGGACCCCATAATGATAATTTTTTTTCAAAGATTGTAAAAGACTTTCATACTGCTATAATAGGTTTTCATTATGACTTTTTGGGGAATTATTTGGATATCATTAACATATATTTTTTTGGGGAATTATATTTAAACAATATTTGAATATGTCTAAAATAAACTTAATAAAGCCACTAATTTTCTAGACCTGTGTGAAACACCTTTGACCTCTGACTGTAGGTCAACAGTGTTCTTGGTAACACATCTAAATGTGTCCCTGGCACAAAATTTTAATCAAAATGACAAATTTTTTTTTAGTGGCATTCCATAATGCAGTGTTCTCCCCAGGCCCTTAAAGGACCGCAGGCCCGCGATGTCTAATTTTTTACCGTGGTGGTATCAGTCTTACCGTGATGTATATTTCTTATGACAAGAATCATTTCACATACAACAACTTTCTTTTTAGAAACTAGAAAGTTTTTTAAATTGAACATTTTTAGTTTCCTTTGAATGATATGTTATTTTTATTGATCATGGATTTTATAAAAGATTTAATTACTTTAAATTTAGATGAATATTTTGTAATGAATCCTGTTTTATTTATTTTTAAAAAAAATATTAAAGTATACAAACTGTTTATTGATTAACTTCTTTTCTACCAATAATTTTCTGACTCAATGTCTACATAACACAGTACCACAGTATTAAAACAAAACAAGAGAACTGCAGTAACTAGAAATATAGCTAAGCGATGCGACACGACTGATTGTATGAATCATTTCACCAAGCTGTCCACATGGTTACCCTGGTGCTATCCAAAAATCCTGGGGAGAACACTGATAATGTATACATTTTTTCTCAGATGAGTACAGTTGAAATATACTATTTATAGATTGATGTTGAATCTGTAACTGCTTGTTGGCCTTGGTAATATCTGTTTTCTGATATGCAATATACTAGCCTGACGCTTGCACATGATAAAGGTAAATCAATACATGTACATGTATTATGTAAATGTATGCATTTTCAGTACTCAGGGCTAAAACATTTCCTGTTTTAATGGGGTATCCTAACCTATATTTATAAATGCTTATGATGCAAAAATTTACATTCCTTCCATTAGGCTACAAGGATTTTTTTAATTGCTAAATTAATAAAAATAGAAACAAGACAATTTTCTTATTTTTGAAAACATTGAATTGTAACTTATATGATAGGGTTATTGATAAATGTTGTCGCAAGTAAAATTGCAATTGTAATATCCAATGTATATTCTACAAGGGATAATATTCATGCAATAAACCTTTTATTTTAAAGCAAAGCTTAAAAACTGTTTAAAACATATTATTGTCACTGATGACATCATTAATTTAATTAATTTACTTGCACTACAATATGTGATATATTTTGCATGCTATAATAATTTAATTTTGGATGTAACAAGTCTTCTGATTGGCTTTAAGTTTTTTTACTATTAGCTCATAGACATAATTTTGTCATGTGACCATGACATCATCAATGTTTTTTCATTATTTATTCCTTTCAGTCTATTCCAAATAACCTCAAAAATGTGGTGCACACTTTTAAATAACCTGCTACACAGGTTATTCAGTGTGCACCACATTTTTGATGTTATTTCTTCATAGACAGAAAAAATATTACAGTCATTCCTTAATTAGATATTGTTACATATTCATTTATTACTTATACTTTCTGTGTATATTCAAATAGATTTTAACCAAATTTTAACCTTTTTAGAAGTCAGTCATTGTCTTCTTTCTTTCTCAGGTTCTGTATCTGTTATAAAATTAGAACTTCCAGATAATATTGGTGATTTTGAACAGCAGCAGGAAGAGTTCCCAATAAATACTGATTTATGTGAGAATTCAGGGAGTATATATATGAACTCAAATGAAATTATTAATGCAGAAGCTATTATTAAAACAGAAGGCAGACAATCTGTTGTTACATGTAATTATACTGAAAGTGGCAACAAACCTGGAACAACCCCAGCAGAAAACAGTGAAGAAGAAAATAGACATGTACTGAAAGTGTTTAGTGATATGTCATATCCTTGGGATGGCTTCAACATGTGTAGTACATGTTTTGGCTTATTTGGTTCAGTAACAGAATTACAGAACCATTTTAAAGTTCACCATCCTGGTAGTGTAATGCTTTCAACTTGTGTATATTGTGGGGGCAGTTTCTCCAGCAATTTTCTATTGAAGCAACATTTTGTGACTTGTCGTATGGGTAAACATGACTTCACATGTATTTTGTGTGGAAAGTCATTTAAACAGGGACAGCATTTCAGAGGACATTTGAACACACATCTTGGTGTGCAGGCTTTCAAGTGTAAAACATGTAAAAAATCGTTTACATATAAAACTCATTTGACTGTCCATGAAAAGCAGTATCATAGTGGCAGCTTTAGTGGTAAATTTGAATGTGTTATATGTAAACGTAGGTATCTTAAAAAGGTACATTTAAATGAACATATTCGTGGTTTTCATGGAAAAGCAAAGCCAAGATATACATGTGAATTTTGTGATGAAAAATTTGTGTGGAGAGGATCATTTATTAAACATAAGAAGGCAAAATGTATGAAAAATCCAAACAGAATGTAAAATGTCAATACATAGGCTATAATATCATGAATATACATTATAACTGCAATTTCGTTTAATATTGTGCAACTTTTTCAGTTTTCCTTGTATAGTAAATATACATGTAGCATCCATAGATTTATTCTTACACAATCTAAAACTAATTTGCACCATAGCAAGTATTATCTTGGTCTATAGTTATTTATTGGGATCTGTGTCCTCTAATGATGAGTCCATTTAGAGAGAATATATGAGTTTGATTAAAAATCAAGACTCTTGAGGCAGTTTATTCATTACATTTCATGTAACTGGATCCTTAATACTATACTACATTCAAAGCAAAAGGTAGTTGTCTACAAGAAATACATAATCTAAGTATGTAAGAAATATTTTTAAACTAGTAGGAGTGAAAACTCAAAAAGGTTTATCAATGATTTGTTATATGCAAGTTTCTACTTTAAAAATCCTGAAGATTGGGTACATGAACTTGTATAATTATGAACATGTTTGAATAAGCAAGAAGGGTCTTTGACAGACTATAAAGGCTCCTTAGTATTTATTTTGTATGGCTAAGGAATTCATTGTCATAATGTGCTTATTTTCAAACTAAATTAATCTTATTTACGTATTACAATAATTTACTTAAGGATTTTTAAAGTGTAAAACAAAAAGGAATATCACTACTGAAATTTATTATTATGAATGCTAGTTCTTATTATTGCTAACCTGGGACTGTCACATTGTTCACATAATTAAAAACATAGCAACAATTGAAAAAATCCACACCTGTATATGTATACACTAGTTCTTTTGTCTAAATATTTTACATCATTCAAACTTATCATATTTGCAGAGAAATAAGTCACATTATGAACATAAAGTTATTAAATTACCCTTTTCTGAACAATTTATAGTACATTTTTAGGATTCAATTTGACCGTTTAAAAACAGTTTTAACTACAACGCAAATATTATTCTTTATTTTTTTAGCCCTTTTTTCTTTTATTCTTTATACCTTTACTCATTTCTACATCGTATAAACCACATCCAGACCCTTGGTAAAGGACAGGAAATATTTACGCTAACTATTTAGATATTTTAGGTGTATTGTATAATGAGTTGTTGCAGATCAAACATACATTTGTACTAAAAGATGTCTAGCAACTGTATTTTTTATGCCAATAGTAGCAATTTATCAGGGTAATAATAGCTATTTGAATGTTAACATGTTTTAAGCAATAGTAGCAGTTTAAGATTTCAAATAGTGATTTTTGTCGAGACATAGGGATTGTTTTTCCGCCGACGGCTCCTGCTCCTGCTCCTGCGTCAACAATTGTTAAGTTTTCTGCTTAAGTTAGTTCGATAGGAACTACTGTTGATAGATCATTGATATTTGCTTTGAAGTTGCTATTACTATCAGTTTGACAACCATTTTGAGGCCCTGCCCCCTAGGACATGGTCAAGTGACTTTGAATTAATTAGCAATTTTCAATGTTAAGTTTTCTGCTTTAGTTAGTTTGATAGGATCTTCTTGTGATAAATCAATGATATTTTGTATGAAGTTGCATTACTATCAGTTCATATCAGTTTAGTGACCATTTTGATGCCCTGCCCCTAGGTCATGGTCCAGTGACTTTGAATTAATTATCAATTTTCAATGTTAAGTTTTTCTGCTTAAGTTATATTGAAAGGAACTACTTACAATAAACAAAGATATTTTTCTATTAAGTTACATTACTGTCTGTACATCTCAGTTAGTCGACAATTTTCAGGCCCTGCCCACTAGATCATAGCCCAGTGACTGAATTAATAAGCTATGTTGCTGTCCTTCAGATTGAATTTTATGCCGATAGGCAAGACATATCTCTGTGTCAACAGTTTATTTTAATGCGGCATGTATCTTTTTTTTATTACAAGAGCTGTTTTGTTTCAATCTTTATTGTTATATTGTTATTTACAAAGTAAGGAAATACTGAAAAAAGAAAATAAAAGTACTTGATCGCTCATTTTTGGTATGTATTCTCCATTCAGGAATCAATCTGTTGATTATCTTAATTAAGAAAATGAAAAGGATAAACATGAAAGTTTCTATTAAGTGGCATAAAGAGAGTTGTCTCATTGGCACTCGTACCACATCTTCTTATATCTATATAACTTATATTCTACTGCAACATATACAAAATTCACATTAATTATTCTTCTAATGAAGTCTGTTGCCAAACATTTTCAAAAATAAACATAATGTGTAGGTCAAAACTTAAACTTTTCTGTGGCAGTTCTCAGAACTTGCAAGTCAGATGTACATAAGGTTCTTGTATGTGTTGGACTCGAATGATTATGTCTACATTAAGCTGATTAAGGAGTAAATGTAAATAAACAGTAGGTTTTTTTTTTAAAATAAAGGTTTGGTTTACTAAATATCTTGATGAATAGAAATTTATTTTATTGTCATGTTTAAATGGTTAAAACTTGAGAACAGAAAGTGATGGATCATGGGATAATATGACCTACTAAAGGCTTGAAAGACCAATGGTCACCTTTGACTTGTGACCTTGAACATTATTTTTCAAATAACACAATATTGAGAATCTAATGAATGTTCTACATGATAAGACAAATCAAATGAAATATAGGTGCATCCACAGGGAGCATCTCCACCCCCTGCCATTAGAGAATGTTCACATTTATAGATAGTGGATGAGATCCCTACCCCTTAATTATATATTTCTTGTTTGATTTGTCAAGATGCCTTAAATTATACACATGATGAGTCCTCATGATCAGGGATCATTCCTGACCCCTGCAGTTTCAACTTTGATAATTTTCAAATATTTTGAAAATGACTGAGATCCCTACCCCTGAACTATATACTAGACTACGTGTGTATAAGTATATATCTGTCATGGGAAGATAAATGATATATAGGTTAAATCTACAGGGATCATCTTCCCTTGTGATTTAGGAAAATACAAATGAGTATTACATATTCACATGCAATATAAACATATGGACGTTAAGCAAACAACAATCAATAAAAAAAAATACAATTTTTATTGGTAACAAAAAAAATAATTCGTGTTCCATGTAAATGTTAAATAGATGTGATTACGGTCCTGGAACTAAATGTGACAAAACAACGAAGATGGGACTACGGTCATCGAGCTAATCAAAGAACGAAGATGTCAGGGCCGTAACCAGCCTCAGAGGCAAAATTATTCCCGGCGAGGGGTCTGGGGCCGCTCAAGGCCCCCAGAGGCTCTGGAAAAAATGACGCAAAATCGTGCATTCTGAGCGTTTCCCGGACCCTTTCTTAATCTGAAACGCAAGTTTTGTTTTAATTATTTTTTTGACAATATTCTGGTCTCAAAGCAAAATATATAGATTCAGTGCAAGATTTAGTTTTTAGGGACAACTTCAAAAGACCGATATGTAGGATAAAGCAAAAATCGTAATTCATATAGTTAAGTGTGTGGCTGCTGTTTTTTTGTTATTTTTTTTGTTTTTGAGTTTCTGCTTGTAGGAAAAACGTATTATACCTGTCAATTATGTTTTTTTTTCAAATTAAGTTAAGAAGGGGCTGATTATCATTGATATAACTATGTGGATTCAGTTTTTATAACACATTTCAATTACAAATTGATGCAATTCCTAACTGGGATAGAAAGGGTACACTCAGGGTAGACTCAGCGGGAAAACTGTTCTTAATAAGACCTCATTGCTACATTTTTGTGCTGTTTAATATGTATACGGGGTGATTAATGTCGGATCTGCCTGTTCTGGTATTGTATTGTGTGTAGACTTGGGTGTAATTTTTTTGTGACTTTGAAATTTATTCACAGCTACTTTAAGTACCGCTTAATCGACGCTAGGGGCTGTCTTGACATTGTTATAAGGTACGAAAGATTCGTTCATTGTTGAAGACCCTCCAGCGACTGTCAAGATGAAGAACAGGAATAAAAGCCCTGTTCTTTGATAATTTGTATTTTTTCCATACACATTTACTCCATATCCCTTTACTTTCTTTTAAAGGGCCTGAACACGGCTTAATGCAAGTTTACGCCCTTCAATGTAAAAGGTCATATGGCAATACATTATTTTTCTTTTTAAATGATTTGATTCCGGGAGATTGTTTGTCTCACTTTAATTTAACCCATGTCATCTTTTTAGTTTAACAGAAAAAGAGCCAGTTTTATATTCTTTAATATAATGTATAATTTTCCATGAAAAAACGAGCAATATTTCTATGTCCGGTAGCTTCGTATCTTCTCAAAACATTCTCTCGAAACAATATCTGGCCATCGGTGGACATGTAACATTGCCAACCCACACAACCGTTCACCCGTCATTACCGACCACTTCGACTATGCTATTTCGATATTTTTTTATTTTTTATTATCAATGTTTCATAGACTAACCGATACATATTTTTACAATTTAAAGTAGTTTTTAAAATTAGACGAAAGGTCCTTAAATATAATGAAACTCGAGTTTAAAACAAAATTACTAATTTACAAATGAAATTCAACGCTAAGACAGTAGTCACGAAGAAAGGCAATCAATGAACAAAAGACAAACCCGCGAACAGATAAGACACATAACAACAAATTATAGACAATCAACACTGAAAACTAAAAATAAATGAGAAACATGGATCTCGAAAAAAACAGGGGCGACGTCAGAGGGTGAACAAAACTTGCTTCTTGCAAGACGCTTGCCGTGAAAACAATTTGATATGAAGACAAGCTTTTGTTTCAACTTATTAATTTTTTTTTTAATTTCCAACATGAGGCATTTGCTTCAATGTAGTTACGGCCCTGGATGTGATTAAGGTCCTTGAGCTTACGAAAAAAATGAAAAAGTGATAAAAACACTGGAGCTAATATAAAAACAAAAAGGTATTTACGGTCCTTAAGCTTACCAAAGAAAGAAAAAGTAATAACGATCCTGGAGCTTATCAAATAAATGGGGAATCTGTGTCCCATGATGCCCCCGCATGCTTATAACGTTATAATGAGAATAACTCAAGAACGGTAAAAGTGACGCTACCCAAATTCGTGTTTGGTGTGAGTTTTACGGCAATAAGCATTGTGTATACATTCCATAA